AGGTCTGGAACAGACTCCTTCCATATATTTGCACCAGGTTACTCTTGGCCGTCCCCTGGGTCTTCTGTCGATCCGCTGGGCAAAAACAATTGCTTAGTCTTCATTTCTGGAGGCATTCGCAACACGCCCAAGCCATCGCAGCTGTGATTTTTCAATCTGGAGAAGCAAAGGCTATATTTCAAGGCTCTTCTAGATGTCACTATTCCGGCACTATTCCGCACCATGTCGAGACGCGTAAGGCCAGCGACTCGTTCAAGAAAGCCCATTTCAGTAGCTTATACCCTGGTTCAAAGTTTTTCAGTGATTGTCCGTGATTCATGACCGTAGGTAAGTATGGGGATAAAGATCGACTTAAATATTAAGAGCTTAGTTTTCAGACTGAGCTCTCCTTTAGTCACATTGTTCACGCAGAACGCCACTGGCTACACCAATTCGCCGGTCGATCTCTTCCTCCAACTTTCGATCACTAGTAAATATAGCTCCCGGGGTACCTGAACTTCTTCACCTGCTCCACTGCCTCTCCGTTAATCTGAAGAGAGCAACGGACAGGAGAACGAGAAAGCACTATGGTTTTCGTTTTATATACGTTCACACGCATGCCGGTCACGTTGCATTCGGCTGCGATCCTTTCTAAGGAGCACTGAAGGTCAGTTTCAGAAGATGCTAATAAAACAAGGTCGTCTACAAACAGCAACCTTTTCGACTTCACATTTCCTACACCGATACCCTCATCGCTTTGTCAGCTCCTGACTGTTCTGTCCATGTACAACTCAAACAGGATAGGGGACAGGACGCAGCCTTGGCGGAGACCAGTGCGAACGTTGAATGGTTTTGATTTAACGCCATTAACTCTGACGCAGCACCTGCTATCAGAATACAGTGATTGGATGGCCCTTAGCAGCTTTCATATATCCCGTATTCTCGAAGGCATAACCATAGACTTTGCGCGGGACCCGGTCGCAGGCTTTTTCTAAGTCCACAAAACACATGTTCATCGCATAGGCGTACTCCCACGATTTCTCAGCAATCTGTCGCAGGGCAAATATATAGTCAGAGGTGCTTCGACCGGGCCGAAAGTCACAGTGCTCTTCTTGGATTTGAGGTCAACTTCTCCTCTGAAACTTTATCTATAATGAATCTTGGTCAACCTGGTGTTTTTTTGAGCTATATTTATATATCCATCCTTTGTCCATCTTCAGAGAAATGATGAGGTTTTACGCGTCAAACGTTTACACGCAGTTTTCATAAGGGTCATTTTAACCTGCGTGATTATGATATTGTCGCGCTTAACCTTAGTCCTACGAGACCGTTTGATGTTTTCAGTCTTTAAGGGTGAGATATTTCTCTGCTCACGCAGTTCCTGTCATTCATCTTCTTCCAGAATATTTTATGGCAATGATTTCAGTATGTTCTGCTATAGCGGAGTTTTTAACATTCCGCTTTCATAATTTTTGGATCGTTCGTTTTGTCTGTTGTTTACTTGCTCGATACGTCTTTCTCTCACATCAACGTTTTTTCATCCATTAAGTTTCTTTTTTGCTTGGTTTTCCTTTCTTCACGTATGTTGCCCGTTTCACCGATGCATTCTGTAGCAAATGAGCTGGAGAGCTTGTACCCAAATCTTATTTCTGCTCCTCTGGTCTCTTGGTCTTCAGGTGGCAGAGGTGACTGCTAAGCATTGTACCGCGTTGTTGAATGCAAGCTACAGACCGGCTTTAAGCTCTGTATGTCGTAACTTTCACTCAGCTTACGAATATATGGTAATGTGATGTAGATCTTACCGTCACGTAAGCATCGTAAGCGCTTTATATTGTCATAGCGCATCAGATTTTACCATCCGATAGTAGGGCTGCTGACGGTGACCTGAGGAATTTTGTACCGATGGGTCCCGAATTCTGTCTGTTTTCTTATCGACGTTCTCTAACCTTTGACATATTAACGTCTAACCGCAAGGTACTGGTGACATTTGTGGATTTTTTTCAGCGGGGTTGATCGCTTTCGCCCTGTCATGAGACTGTCATTAAACATTATGACATTTTTCTTAGGAATGAACCTGTCAAGCTCGAATTCAGCTACGCCCTTATGGTTTTATCGATGCATGTTCGCGTCTGTTTATTTGTCGCAGTTAATCTCCATATCTGGAAGTTTTTCTCCTGTCCAAAACCCGGGAACATATCGCATGTCTGACGGTTAGGCACTCTGGATATGCATGTACAACTGATTAACCATTTATGTACAAAGTATTTACCTCAGTTTAAATTTTCGATGTGCATTAAATGCAGTGTAAAATCGATGGAATAAATGGGGTGCAAAACTTGACTGCTAGCTGCACCGCGTGACAAACTGAAGTAGTACATGGAACAGATTTGATAAACGTCTGTTTGTCCGCAACTGGGCATGATAGAAATTTAACATAAATCTATGCTCTATGCCGTTGATGTTAATTTTGCCAATGATTTCTGTACCATATTTCGCTTTTGCACAGTTTATTAAGTAGTCCTTACAATTTAGGTGAAAGTCTTCGTGTCATGATGGACTGCGAAGGAGGTAAGGCTAGTTACAAGAAACTGAAGCACAGGTTACGACGTAACTTCTATTACGGCAGCTCTCGTATGGATCGTTTGTCCATACCCCTGACTGGTAAGGACTTCTTGTTTACTTTACATATTTTTTCATTCTTTGTTATTTGTTTATAATTTTTTCTATTTTCCCAGATTTTACCGTAGAGTATCTCGATCGTAACTGCCCGTTTGGGTACGTCTCACCCGATTACGTGAGTAAAATTTCGAAAGACGGCGCCATTTCGCCAGTAACGTTGATCGTCGCACTTGTTTATTTGGAACGGCTGAGGCTTTGTAACAAGGATGTATTTGAGGATTCAGATCCGGAAGACTTGATCAACTCTGCTTTGGTAAACAAACATACATTTAACACTGTACAATTAAATGTTAATGTACGTACGTTGTCAGGCTTTTCACGTTAATATTATTTTATCAAAAAATTAGTATAGTCAGGTCAGATGTAATCCTTAGTACGAAGGTTGTTTCGATTATTATTTGTGTGTAATGATGCTGCTGATATGTCACTCTTCTGACTTTGCTATTTGATAGAATATATGCTGAATCAAAGGAATGCTTGTTTAGCTTCCATGAGCTTGGTTTTGCTTACACGTTCGCTTCGTCTTGCTTATTCGAACTCTCCGCCAGACAATCTGTCACGTGCTTTTATTCCGTTCCTTAGTTTTAATGCTTGAATTTGATTTATATTAGTGAACTGTGGGAAGATGTAACATCTGTAGTGGACAGCCCATGTCTGTTATCGCATTGAATTTATCCTGATCCTCTTTTATGACTCGTGATGTAACAGCCGACTGTGAATTCTCCCTGAGGTTTTTTGAGATGGCAGAAATATTGGATACCAGCGTTCAAATCGATCCTTGATCAAATCACAGCGAAACGGTTTCTTCGTGCCTCCTACTTAGTGAACATAAAATGACTAGACTCATGACCTACAGCGATAAAACAGCTAGAAGATGCTTTATGGATGACGACGAGGTAGAGAGAATCATGAGTATCCTTTGCGCCACGTGATAATCAAAGTCTTCGAATTTTGGGCCAGTCTCGTGGACCGTGTTGTCGTCTTTCGGAATAGCGGATGACTACTATTATATTGTTACGTTGTGCGCTTAGCGCATTTCGGTTTGTAACGGTTGACGAAGAAGATAAAACGCAGAAATGAACAAAGAAATGGCGAAGAGGAAAAGTATAGCCGAGTAAAAAGGTGAGGAACATGAATGGGAAGCAGAAGAAGGATGAAAGGAGCATGAAATAAAAGTTCAACAAAAGAAGAAGAAGGTAAAGAGGAGAAGAAAGATGTGGAAGAAGAGGAGCAATAAGAAGACTACAGAGATGAGAAAGAAAAGTAGCAATAAGAAGATAAAAGGCAAAGAACAATTGCTAGTCTACAGCGTTGCAGATAAACATGGTTGTATTATTA